CTGAAAGTCAGATGGCCCGAAAGACCGAGTTTTAATTTAAAGAGCATGAGCCAGATTCAGAGTGACAAGAACTAACAGTAACGTTCCGGTATGGGGTGCCGTTTGCTCACGCTGAAAAATAACCAGCCAACCATTTTGTCACATTTAGGCTGCCCAAATGTCAAACAGAGTTTAAAAAACTGGTATGAATTTCTGAGGTCAGCTTTTTGTGCCATTAAACAATATTTGTCAATTTAGAGATATTTTAAATAGTGTAAATCAAATATGTCGAAATTTCACCTAAATATTAAATCTAATGCTAGTTAGTTGCCTATTCTTTGATTACTGTGGGCCCTCGTGCCTGTTACCCAATCCTTCTGTCCTGCCGACAATAATACTGTAAACATCTCTCTAACCCTCTGTTTGTATGCAGTCCAACAGCCATGAGCATGTGAGCGTCTGAGCTGTGTGACTATTGCTCACTTACTTTCTCCCTTCTTTCTCTCTCTCCCTGTTTTCTTCTTTCTCTCTTTCTTCTTGTGCTCTCTGTTCAGTTTCAGTTCTGGTACCTCTCTCTGTCCCCTGGCTGTCGGTGCCTCATTTGAGACATTTTAGATCTGGATGTTGGTCCTCCAGGAGATTCAGCCTCACCTCCTGTCTCTCTCTCCCTCTGTGGGAATGATTATGAGTTTTCAGTCCCTCCAGGATTCCGCTGGCTTTTTTTGGTGTCCTAAAATGCTTTCTTTCACAGCAGCTTTTCTAAAAACATGTGATGCATGTATGTTTTAGGCCCATTGGTTTTTGCAATGAATTGCATGAGAAAGTGAAAATCTGCAAAAAATAGTTGGGTGTGTTTTTATTATTTTTTTGTATAATTCATTAAAAGTCCAAGGCAACTTATTCCAGTGAGAATAATGTTGCTAGTAGTTTGGTGACTTATGGCTCAACCAAATGACCTTGAACCTATTACCCCAAGTCACCTTCTGCTTCTTAAGACTACACCATCCCTGCCACCAGGTGCAGGACAGTTTCTGAAGGAAAACCTTTATGCTCTCCGCAGGGAGAGGCAAGTTCAGTATATGTTGACTTTGTTTTGGAAAACATGGATTAAACAATATCTTCCCCAACTGCAGAAACAACAGAAATGGTTAATGCAACTTCACACCAGACGACATCGTGATCATTGAGGAAGTCAGCACCTTGAAACTCCTGGCTAACTGAAAACAATTTTGAAACCATTCTGGACAAAAGAAGAGTATGTTCGGATCAACATCAAGACCAGCTTTCTGAACAGACCCATCAATAAAGTTAAAGTAAAATTCTACGGAAGGCAGAGAATCTTTGGCAAGTCCAAACTGACCTTACTTTGTTGTGTTTTTTAACCATACCCCTTGCCCACTGCACACATTCAATACCATAGAGAGGACGCAAGACAGGGTGAATGGGTTGAAGTAGGAGTCTAGACAGAAAATGTAGATGGGGAATGATGTTCACAGCTGGTTGGTTTTACTTCTCCAGAGTGTGAATATGAGAGAGTCTGAATGGTGATGTCAGATAGACTGGGATGGAGAAAGGGGTTATAGATACAGCAAGAAGCCAAAATAAAAAAGGCAGCAAGAAAATGGATTCTAGTTAAGTTGTCAACCTCAGGGGATGAGTATGGATCTAGAAAATGGAAGCAGAGGCTGAGAAGGTCGGAACTGAGTGGCATTTTGCTGTGAGAATGAGTTCCTTTATTTGCAAGCCTT